CCACTTAAAAGAACCATTATGTCAGTATCGATGTAACAGACCCAGTTGTAATGAATATACTTGAGAAAACTCTCCAAACAAGGACTTTACTTCACTTTACAGTGAAAAGTTGTCATAAAAAACCTAACCAGAAAATAGCCTACATACATGTCATTCAGTTTTGTAATCTTGCCTGCGACATGGCAGACTGAACTACAAAAGGGAATATATTACTTACTTTATTTGTGGTCCACTTTGCTCCATGCATGGACAAGGTACAAGACGATCTCTCAAGGATTCCCTGGCTACTGCACTCTATGAATTTGTATTAATGACTTAAGTGGATTGAACCACTAGCTAATTGGGTGTAGAAGAGATGAACCACTGTTTGATCAGATGGGGAAGGGGGCAGGGTGTCTTCCTCGGTACACATATGCATTACAAATTTGTCTTTCCTACTAGCTTGGGTAATCAATACATTTGATATGAACACAGGTGTGTATAGAAGGTGCATGTAGCTCCCCCCCCCTCTTTTCAGGATAGTAGTTGAGTCTAAACTTGATATTGACTAGTACAGAGTTGGTGTAGTTATACATTCCAGTCAGTGTTTACCTTTACCAACATGTGACTATACCACAGATTATTACTCCACATACATGTATTATATACACACAGTACATGTAGTCGCTATTAATTGGGTGTCCTGTGTCACGACTGCTGTTACTGAATGCACGCGAACTGGTTGGATGTCAACCAGGTTGCACCATTAGAGGATAGACCCAGCCATGGGGAGTTTTAGAAAGGTGCTAAGCCTTGAAGAATTGGTAGGTTGATTTCAGTCTACAAATGTAACTGTCTAATCTTAGCTGGCTTAAATGCAATTGCAATCAGTGCAGATGCCGGGAAAACTCACTGGATTATACGTGTTTATATTAGTATATCTGACCAACTTCTTTTTATTTCACAATTCAAATGTGTTAATTCCCCCAAGAAATCTGATATTCTTTCTACGGTACTTTGCTTTCTGGATATATCAATGTCTTGCCCTGTAAAAGTTGAGATTATACAGCACCTTTACATTTGTATATACCTATATGAAAGTATTATGACTATTTTAAATGTTACTACTGTATTTCTTCTGTGCATGGACTACCGGTACGTTGGGTCTAATATAAATGTTCAACCTGTGCTGTACAAAATTGTTGATGTTACTACTGTATTTCTTCTGTGCATGGACTACCGGTACGATGGGTCTAATATAAATGTTCAACCTGTGCTGTACAAAATTGTTGATGTTACTACTGTATTTC